CAAGCATGACCAGAGATTCTGGAATGAGAATTGTATGCTGTAAGCCTGATGTAGTTTGGTATTAGGGATGTGCAAACAGAAGTCGTAGAAGATGGCTTTCAGATAGTCACAAAGAAACATTTAAACATCAGCATGGGAAACTGTTCTGCATGCTTAAATGTAGGATTTGCATCTCTTAGCAATAGTAGCCACCTACATTTTAAAGTCAGGGGCCATATTTGGCCTACATCCAACATCTACCCCTTCCATATGCACAGGTTGTTTCTGAGCTGCAGATATTAAGGATCTTCATGATCATTTTTTTCTCTGTGTATATATCTATGAAGGAATGACAAATTCATGTTAATGTTGATGGTGTTCCCCCCTCAACGACTATACTCTAAACACTCTCTGAGGATTTTTTTTCTCCCCTTGACATGCACATGAATCTCCCATTAGTGTCAATTAGAGTTATGTCTGTATATCATGGGGAGAATAGAGCCCTAAATAATTCATTAGAGTTCCCCATAAATCAGCTTCCCTTGATGAATGGCTGCTATCAGCATTCTTGGAGAGGCGCATTTCTAACCATTTTTTAGAGACTTAGCAACAAGTTTGGTTCTTGAGATTGGAGTGTCAGTGATTTAAGCTAAGCCTTCTTCCTTTGGATTTCCACTCAGCACTTTAAAATTACTGAGACTGATTTACAAACATTATGGGGGAGACAACGGCCAATATGGCTACATTTTGGCTGATTTTACTTCATTAATAATTGACAATAAGGAAGACTGGATTGCTCAAGGGGTTGGTAATAGGATACAGGACCTTTCACCTTCAGGTTAATGGTTCAAAGCCAACTCTGGTCAGTTGTGACTTAAAGTCATTACTGTCTATCTTAAGGCCTACGTGAAATAAGCTGGTGGTCTCCATTTATTTCCTAAGAGTTAAGTCCTTGATCCAGCAAGATCCTTAATTATTAGCAAATGCATAAGTCCTTTTGAATATAGTAGGATGTAAGCAGCTGCTTACAGTTAAGCTTACTCTTAGGAGCTTTGCTCAATCACGATGGATTGAAGCACATACTTGTAAGTCAAGCATATGCTCAAAGCCTTTGCTGAGGCAGATCTTAAGTATCTACATCTCACATGCACAAAGCAGCAAAATGAACCCTCATTTTTCTCTTTGTTGATACTCTCAGCAGGGAGGCCCAGGACTGGGCACAGAGACTGAACTATTTTTTTCTGGTCAAAGAACAGCTCCGTTTGGGCTGATGCATATTAACAGGCTGGGATAGGAGAGATATACACTTCAGCTACCATTTCATATTTGCTCAATGCATATAATTAATTAAGCACATAATTTCATGCCTCACTGTCAGCTCGATACCTTTCAATGAAATACAAATGTAGCATTTGCACACTCTTAAATGATCTTTAGGTAGAGAAGCTTCACTTTCATGCAGCATCTAGCATAAAACAATGACAGCTTCTGTTACAAAAGGCATTCACTGTCTCAGTGTATACCAAAGGACCTTGTGATATGTTGTGAGTTCAGCAACTGGACACTGTTGAACTAACAGTTATTTATTATTATAATTCTCTGAAACCATATCCAGGGTGGATCTTAACAGTCGTCCTCAGTAGATGTATGCAGAACTTATACTTACTCTGCCTCTGACTTGACTCAGTCCAGTCCTCTGGAGTGAGAGAAACCAAGAATGCATCTGGCTCCTCAAGGCAGAGTCCCCAGTGCTGTAAAACTGCTACAAAACAAACTGAACCCTGCAGTGTTGAAAATGAGGGCTTTGGCTTTAAAGGGACACTACAAGGAAAACACAACACCTTGTATGAACAGAGGTGGATCCAGGGGGTGTAGCGGAGTTGTTGCACTGCCCTTCCACAGTAAAAGTTGCTTGTTGAGGGCTCTATTCCCCCATAACCCCAGATGCCTGGGTGCCCTGCTGTGTCAGAGGCACTCCTGGAGCCCCAGGTTAAAGTGGGACAGCCAGGGGACCAAATGGGAAGCAGGACTCATCAGCTGCTGTCCCCAGCTGATCCAGAGGTAGGGGGAGCCCCAGAATTACTCCTGCCCCAATCCGGCCAGGGGCTGTGGGCAGCAACTACACAGGGTTCCAGTCCCTGCTCCCTCCCTCTCTACCACCTTTTTCCTGCTGGCCTAAGGCATCCAGCTGCGGGGAGCACCCATGAGGCTCCCCCACCTCTAGGTCAGCCATGGACAGCAGGTAGGGCCCCCTTCTTAGAGTCAGCTCCTACTGGAGAGTGTGGGAGAGGAGAGGAGTACTGGCACTGCAGGGGAGGGGGTGCTGAGAAGTGTAGGGAGGAATCTACCTGCTTCAAGGGCTCCAGGACATCCCCAGCAGATGCTGCAGTGGCCTGCTGTGACCACGGGAGGAGCGTCAGAGGAGAGGAAGGGAAGGAAGGGGATGGCAGTGCATCTCCTGCAGTCCACCATTTCAAATTGCTGGATGCACCCATGTGTACTAAGGAAAGCCTTTAAAACAGAAAAGCTGTTTGGGAATTCATTCTAAGCAGTCATCATTTGTACCTAATACTGTTTGAATCAGAGTACAATTCTGAAGGACTTGAAACACAGCTACTGGAGTGTGATCTAACCTGCTAGAACAAATAACGTCTAAGATTACCAATGGATCAGATTTTGTTTTGCTTCTTTTAAATGGAACTGTGTTCTGGGGCTTTTGCATGGCACACCAATCATTGTTTTGCACAGTCAAGGTTAACTGCTGTGAAATGTAAGCTCCTGTTTCAAAGCACTACAAGCCGAGACAACCACCATTTTAACATCATGGCTGTGATTCTTACAGATCAAACTGAACTTTACCAGATAAAAATATTTTTCTTGGTTTAGGCTATGGCTGATTGTAAACATAGGCACATTGGCTCCTTTGTAATGCAAAGAGTGGTTGACCAGATTCGCAGTTATGCTGTACGTAAGCTGAAGTCAACAGGTTGATCCTTGAGTTCTGCTGAGATCAACATCTTGTTCAGTATTTTTAAAGTCTTCTAGTTCCTTTTTATTTGAAAGACAGAGGTAGCTGGTCATCAAATTAGCACATAATGTAACAATCACAGCTAATTTCCTGAGACGTACACGTATTTCAAGGGCTGAATCTCAGGAGATTTCTGTCCACAGAATTTTGGTCAAGTATTCAATAACCATCCTCAGATAAAATGAAGAAAGCCAATGAACTCTTAGATTTGCCTGTTACTAATGGAAAATCAGATCCACAAAGTCAGCAGTAATTAAATGTCTGACAAAAATCAGCAGGAGTTCTCTGAAGGTCCTCACTGGATTATGATCAGCCAGCTCAACCACGATCACTGACTTTTACCTTCAGATCCCTGACCTGGATTTTGCAGAAAACAGATATTTCCCCTTACACAATTTTTTCTAGGTTTTATAATGTGCCTCAGACATGCTGGGATATGGCTCTTACAGCTCAGTGAGTTCTATACAGACACATACGTAGTGGAGACACGGACTCAACATTTACACATCTCAGTGAGAAATTTAAGCATATCTGTAAATGTTTGCAGGATACAGGTCTCAATCCATAAAATTCATGATTGTTAGGATAAGGTTTCACCTTTTTTCTCTAGCCACAAAACACTCACAGCAGATTTTGATTGGGGTGACTCCATTTTTCATTCAGGGCTGCTTGTGCAACACTTAGAACTATAGAATTAGTGGTTTGAAAGGGACCTCAAACATCACTTGGTCTAACATCCTGCACAGAGGTATGTTTTGGTCGTACTCAAGTCATCTCTCATTGATTCCTGTCCAGACGCTTCTGACCCCCCCCCCCCCCCCCCCCAAAGGCAATTCTGTAATTTCTC